GCACAAAATTGAAGAAGGACATTTTATCATAAAGAGGTTATAATATAACGCTTGCGTGTTTGGGGATGGCAAATATCAGGTATTAGGAATAAACACTATGTATTTAGCTTGCCAAGGCTTGCTAAATACAATGTTTATTCCCAATACAGGATATTTACCCTCCCCCAACACACAAGCGTGATAACCTCTACACACCCAACCAAGTTGGAACTGAAGCCAGTCCAGGACATTGTCTACCATCTTCCCTAGGCAAGGGAGTTAACTATAAAAGTACAGTTTCCACCCTTGCCGAACTAGGCTGGAATTATGGAGTCATAATTTTGCTGGACTAACGAGTGTATGCAGAGTCCAATCAAAATCAAGTAACGAACTCGATATCCGGTTCATAAACTGCCATGCAGATTTCAGTCGATTGCAGGATTTGCAAAGCATGTGTACCGCCAACTCATCGTCAACAGACAATAGAACCAGTATGTCAGTTTGTCATTTGTGTGATATACAAGCTCTGTCATATAGGCAGTGAGGCAATGGACTGGAAATGGTACTTTGAGATATTTTCAGATTACTGTGTTTTGCGTTTCTGGTTCAGTTGCTGCAAACCTCAATGAGCCCCTTCCAGTGAGGGAGGCTGCCAGGTGTGGCGGGCAGTCCTGGGAACCGGAGACTGCGACATCAGTCCGGAATCCACATTTTTTGTGGTTTCATTTTTTTTAAAAAGCCACAAAATCAGAAAACAAATACTACATCTAACTGGCCTTAACCAAAACACATTTTATTGTGAAACTGACATTCCCAGTTTGTATACATATTCCTACAAGTTGATTGAATAGAGATTCTTGTTTATGTTCTGTAGAAGAGGTCCACTTACATGTCGTGACGTTTGTTGAACAATCTTCCATTTTTCACCTGGCCCAAGGCACTGTCATTAATGTGTGTCTGAAAATGGATTGAGTATTGGAAGGTAATGGATATTTCTGTCAGTGATAGCCAGTTGACCTTTATGTTCATTGTATGGTGGAGGTGATGTTCAGGGTGGATTGTCTGCCAGCGCCACCTGCAATCTGTTGTTGTCAGACATCAGCCGGGCTTCATCCCAATACTCATCTGTCAGTAACCTTTTGTTGCTGTGTAGAGCATCGCTCAACGCGACCTTTTGCATATCTTTCATCATGTGCTGGTGTGCTACCCGATATGGCATATAAACTATTCCAAAATAACACGCCACAATTTCCTGTCGTGAGGACAATCATTTATCTCCTTTGTCTTGTTCTTTTAAACATGATCGTGAGTGGTGACCTTGTCAAGTCTGTTTTCATTATGTGGGATGTACAACATTTGGTGATTTGAAATCTGAGTCTTTCTTCTATCGATATTGTACAAATAAATATTGTGGTTGAATTTCAGCATACCGTTGTAATTTGACTTTGGCTTCTGGAGCAGATAAAAAACAATAGAAAATGTTGTCATGACACACGAACAAACTAATGGTGAAGTTGCTAAGTGTGATGTATTTCTTTGTTAACCCCCCGACCAAACAGGGCATGGGTATATTATAGTCATACCAAGGAATCCCCTCTTTCCTTCCCAGGACATTTTTATGTGCAACATGAACTTGAAAACTACTGCATAGATTCTTTTCAAACTTGGTGAACATTTTGTATACCAATAGATAATAATAGACGAGTAGCTGGTGGATGGGGAGTAGCTGGTGGATGGGGAGTAGCTGGTGGATGGGGAAGTAGATGAGTAGATGGGGGTGTAGATGAGTAGCTGGTAGATGGGGGAGTAGCTGGTGGATGGGGAGTAGATGAGTAGCTGGTGGATGGGGGAGTAGCTGGTGGATGGGGAGTAGCTGGTGGATGGGGAGTAGCTGGTGGATGGGAAGTAGATGAGTAGCTGGTGGATGGGGAGTACCTGGTGGATGGGGAGTAGCTGTTAGATGGGGGAGTAGCTGGTGGATGGGGAGTAGCTGGTGGATGGGGAAGTAGATGAGTAGCTGGTGGATGGGGAGTAGATGATTAGCTGGTGGATGGGGAGTAGCTGGTGGATAGGGAAGTAGATGAGTAGCTGGTGGATGGGGAGTAGCTGGTGGATGGGGAAGTAGATGAGTAGCTGGTGGATGGGGGAGTAGCTGGTGGATAGGGAGTAGATGAGTAGCTGTTAGATGGGGAGTAGCTGGTGGATGGGGAGTAGATGAGTAGCTGGTGGATGGGGAGTAGCTGGTGGATAGGGAGTAGATGAGTAGCTGGTGGATGGGGAGTAGCTGGTGGATGGGGAGTAGATGAGTAGCTGGTGGATGGGGGAGTAGCTGGTGGATGGGGAGTAGATGAGTGGATGGGGGAGTAGCTGGTGGATGGGAAGTAGATAAGTAGCTGGTGGATGGGGAGTAGATGAGTGGATGGGGAGTAGATGAGTGGATGGGGAGTAGATGAGTGGATGGGGGATGGGGAAGTAGATGAGTAGCTGGTGGATGGGGAGTAGCTGGTGGATAGGGAGTAGATGAGTAGCTGTTAGATGGGGGAGTAGATGAGTAGCTGGTGGATGGGGAAGTAGATGAGTAGCTGGTGGATGGGGGAGTAGATGATTAGCTGATGGATGGGGAGTAGCTGGTGGATGGGGAATAGCTGGTGGATAGGGAAGTAGATGAGTAGCTGGTGGATGGGGAGTAGCTGGTGGATAGGGAGTAGATGAGTAGCTGTTAGATGGGGGAGTAGATGAGTAGCTGGTGGATGGGGAAGTAGCTGGTGGATAGGGAGTAGATGAGTAGCTGGTGGATGGGGGAGTAGCTGGTGGATGGGGGAGTAGATAAATAGCTGGTGGATGGGGAAGTAGATGAGTAGCTGGTGGATGGGGGAGTAGATGATTAGCTGGTGGATGGGGAGTAGCTGGTGGATGGGGAGTAGCTGGTGGATAGGGAAGTAGATGAGTAGCTGGTGGGTGGGGAGTAGCTGGTGGATAGGGAGTAGATGAGTAGCTGTTAGATGGGGGAGTAGATGAGTAGCTGGTGGTTAGGGAAGTAGCTGGTGGATAGGGAGTAGATGAGTAGCTGGTGGATAGGGAGTAGATGAGTAGCTGGTGGTTTGGGAAGTAGATGAGTAGCTGGTGGCTGGGGGAGTAGCTGGTGGATAGGGAGTAGATGAGTAGCTGTTAGATGGGGGAGTAGCTGTGGATGGGGAGTAGATGAGTAGCTGGTGGATGGGGGAGTAGCTGGTGGATGGGGAGTAGCTGGTGGATGGGGGAGTAGCTGGTGGATGGGGAGTAGATGAGTAGCTGGTGGATGGGGAGTAGATGAGTAGCTGGTGGATGGGGAAGTAGATGAGTAGCTGGTGGATGGGGGAGTAGCTGGTGGATAGGGAGTAGATGAGTAGCTGGTGGATTGGGAAGTAGATGAGTAGCTGGTGGATGGGGGAGTAGCTGGTGGATAGGGAGTAGATGAGTAGCTTGTGGATGGGGAAGTAGATGAGTAGCTGGTCGATGGGGAAGTAGCTGGTGGATAGGGAGTAGATGAGTAGCTTGTGGATGGGGAAGTAGATGAGTAGCTGGTGGATGGGGGAGTAGCTGGTGGATAGGGAGTAGATGAATAGCTGGTGGATAGGGAGTAGATGAGTAGCTGGTGGATGGGGAAGTAGATGAGTAGCTGGTGGATGGGGGAGTAGCTGGTGGATAGGGAGTAGATGAGTAGCTGTTAGATGGGGGAGTAGCTGGTTGATGGGGAGTAGATGAGTAGCTGGTGGATGGGGGAGTAGCTGGTGGATGGGGAGTAGCTGGTGGATGGGGAGTAGCTGGTGGATGGGGAGTAGATGAGTAGCTGGTGGATGGGGAGTAGATGAGTAGCTGGTCAATGGGGGAGTAGCTGGTGGATGGGGAGTAGATGAGTGGATGGGGGAGTAGCTGGTGGATGGGGAGTAGCTGGTGGATAGGGGAGAAGCTGGTGGATGGGGAGTAGCTGGTGGATGGGGAGTAGATGATTAGCTGGTGGATGGGGAGTAGCTGGTGGATGGGGAGTAGCTGGTGGATGGGGAGTAGCTGGTGGATAGGGGAGAAGCTGGTGGATGGGGAGTAGCTGGTGGATGGGGAGTAGATGATTAGCTGGTGGATGGGGAGTAGCTGGTGGATAGGGAAGTAGATGAGTATCTGGTGGATGGGGGAGTAGCTGGTTGATGGGGAAGTAGATGAGTAGCTGGTGGATGGGGAGTAGATGAGTAGCTGGTAGATGGGGGAGTAGCTGGTGGATGGGGAGTAGCTGGTTGATGTGGAAGAAGATGAGAAGCTGGTGGATGGGGGAGTAGCTGGTGGATGGGGAGTAGCTGGTGGATGGGGAGTAGCTGGTTGATGGGGAGTAGATGGTCGATTGGGGAGTAGCTGGTGGATGGGTAGTAGATGAGTAGCTGGTAGATGGGGGAGTAGCTGGTGGATGGGGAGTAGATGAGTAGCTGGTGGATGGGGAGTAGCTGGTGGATGGGGAGTAGATGAGTAGCTGGTGGATGGGGGAAAAGCTGGTGGATGGGGGAGTAGCTGGTGGATGGGGAGTAGCTGGTGGATGGGGAGTAGCTGGTGGATGGGGGAGAAGCTTGTGGATGGGGAGTAGCTGGTGGATGGGGAGTAGATGAGTAGCTGGTGTTTTGGGAGTTATGGTAAGTGATGAAACAAGATAGAGCTGGCCTTGCACTTAAGTTATGGTCAGTGATGAAACAAATAGAGCTGGCCTTGCACTAAAGTTATGGTCAGAGATGAAACAAGATAGAGCTGGCCTAGCACTTATGTTATGGTCAGAGATGAACAAGATAGATCTGGCCTTGAGTTATGGTCGGTGGTGCAGGGATCACAGGGAATCAGCAAACCCTGATCCGTATTTTGAAATGAAAAGAACCCGTAATCCCTTGTGATGATTTCAAACAGTGGTAAGTTCCCTGTAAGCTGACTGTTCAAACAGTCAATCTGGGAATGTAATGTGTTATTGGTGTAGAGATAGATTACAAAACATCGCTTCTTCTTTGCAGGATGAGAAAGAGGCTGAAAAACCACCACCTTCTGAAACCAAGTTTGGTGCCAAGCCAAAGCATCACCAACTTAGCCGGAAAGAGGTTTGTAAAGTTGTCATGGTGGACACTGCTTTGATCATGCTGCAGAACACTTTCCTCCACATTTATCTAACAATGATTCTTGTCAGGGAAGTATGCTGTGACACAAATGAAGTTGATGGATGTGTATTCGGGGCTGTTAGGTAGAAGGAGAAGAATCTGGCAAAATAGGCAAGGAAAAATTCAACCTCGCAGATAATCGTTAAGTGGCTTGTCATGTTTTGGAAAAATCTTTCTCTTGTCTACAGGGAAAAAAATTGGTGTGTGGGTGTATGTGTGATCTGTTTTTGTGACCATTTTTCTACAATGTGATTTTTTATGGTAACATTACATTGATGGGACTCATGGGCTTCATGTTGTGATGTAGGTAGTTTGTGCTGACATGGATTTCTACCTATCAGCTGGAATGTTTGTTTGTTTCTCTGTTTGTTTGTTTGTTTAACACTGCACTCAACAATATTCCAGCTATATGTCGGCAGTCTGTACATAATCAAGTCTGGACCAGACAATCCAGTGATTGAGCATCATGAGCATAGATCAAAGCAACTTGGATATGATAACATGCATCAACCAAGTCAGCGAGCCTGACCACCCGATCCTATAAGTCTCTAACGACAAGCATAGGCACCTTTTACAGAAAGCATGAGTTGCTGAAGACCTCTACCCCGATCTTCACAGGTCCAACTGGAATGTAAACATTGTTGCATGTGTACGTGGTTTCAGTATGAGCTGCTCTACATTGAGGTGCTCTACACCATCAAGCACAAGATCGGGACAACCACCAGCTGCCACTCGCCGTTCATCCAGGACCTCTACCAATACGCCCAGGAGGCGTTCGGGGTGCGGCCGGAGGACCATGCTCGTCTCCTTGCCAAGGCCACTGAGGAGAAGGTCAGACATTGGGGGGGATAATTTAACATTCATTTTGTTGTGTTGTTTGCCTTCTGTTTCCTAGTATTAAATTGGAAACATGATATGCAATGTATATCAATATATCATGATATGCTATTGTCAAAACACAATATACACAGCTATGAGGGGGTGTGGTTGGGGAAGAGGTTATGATGGGGCTGGGAGGGGTTGTGATGTGGGGCTGGGAGGGATTGTGGTGGGGCTGGGAGGGGTTGTGGTGTGAGGGAAGGGGTTTGTTGTGGTGTGAGGAAAGGGGTTTGTTGTGGTGTGAGGGAAGGCGTTGTGGTGTGGGGCTTGGAGGTTGTGGTGTGAGGGAAGGGGTTGTGCTGAGGGCTGGGAGGGGTTGTGTGAGGCGAGGTGTTGTGGTGGGGCTGGGAGGGGTTGTGTGAGGCGAGGGGTTGTGTGAGGCGTGGGGTTGTGGTCAGGATGGAAAGGGTTGTGTGAGGCAAGGGGTTATGATGGGGCTGGAAGGGGTTGTGGAGGTAAAAGGGGTTGTTTGGGGCTTTGAGGGGTTGTGGGGCTAGGAGGGGTTGTGGTGGTGCTTGGAAGGATTGTGGTGTGGGGATGGGAAGGATTGTGGAGTGGGGCTGGTAGGGGTTGTGGTGTGGGGCCGGGAGAGGTTCTGGAGTGGGGCTGGGAGGGGTTGTGGTGTGAGGCCGGGAGGGGTGATGGTTGGGCTTGGAAGGGTTTTGGTGTGGGGCCGGGAGGGGTTGTGGTGTGGGGCCGGGAGGGGTTGTGGAGTGGGGCCGGGAGGGGTGGTTGTGTGGGGCCGGGAGGGGTTGTGGAGTGGGGATGGGAGGGGTTGTGGAGTGGGGCCGGGAGGGGTGATGGTTGGGCTGGGAAGGGTTGTGGAGTGGGGCTGGGAGGGGTTGTGGAGTGGGGCCGGGAGGGGTGATGGTTGGGCTGGGAAGGGTTGTGGAGTGGGGCTGGGAGGGGTTGTGGTGTGGGGCCGGGAGGGGTTGTGGAGTGGGGATGGGAGGGGTTGTGGAGTGGGGCCGGGAGGGGTTGTGGTGTGGGGCCGGGAGGGGTTGTGGAGTGGGGATGGGAGGGGTTGTGGAGTGGGGCCGGGAGGGGTGATGGTTGGGCTGGGAAGGGTTGTGGAGTGGGGCTGGGAGGGGTTGTGGAGTGGGGCCGGGAGGGGTGATGGTTGGGCTGGGAAGGGTTGTGGAGTGGGGCTGGGAGGGGTGATGGTTGGGCTGGGAAGGGGTGTGGAGTGGGGCTGGGAGGGGTTGTGGTGTGGGGCCAGGAGGGGTTGTGGAGTGGGGCTGGGAGGGGTGATGGTTGGGCCGGGAAGGGTTGTGGTGTGGGGCCGGGAGGGGTTGTGGAGTGGGGCTGGGAGGGGTTGTGGTGTGGGGCCGGGAGGGGTTGTGGAGTGGAGATGGGAGGGGTTGTGGAGTGGGGCCGGGAGGGGTGATGGTTGGGCTGGGAAGGGGTGTGGAGTGGGGCTGGGAGGGGTTGTGGTGTGGGGCCGGGAGGGGTTGTGGAGTGGGGCTGGGAGGGGTGATGGTTGGGCTGGGAAGGGTTGTGGTGTGGGGCCGGGAGGGGTTGTGGAGTGGGGCTGGGAGGGGTTGTTGTGTGGGGCCTGGAGGGGTTGTGGAGTGGGGCTGGGAGGGGTTGTGGTGTGGGGCTGGGAGGGGTTGTGGAGTGGGGCCGGGAGGGGTTGTTGAGTGGGGCCGGGAGGGGTGATGGTTGGGCTGGGCAGGGTTGTGGAGCAGGGATGGGAGGGGTTGTGGAGTGGGGCCGGGAGGGGTGATGGTTGGGCTGGGAAGGGTTGTGGAGTGGGGCTGGGAAGGGTTGTGGAGTGGGGCTGGGAGGGGTTGTGGTGTGGGGCTTGGAGGGGTTGTGGAGAGGGGCTGGGAGGGGTGATGGTTGGGCTGGGAAGGGTTTAATGTTCTGCGAACTGATGCATGCTATATTTTCCCTTGTATGTAGAGTTGCAACTGTATGTTTTGCCTTTTCCTGCAGCCTCCAATTGTCATCCTCAACATATCTGTGATTGAAGCTAAGGGACTGTTGGCCAAAGATGCAGACGGTAGGTTCCTTAACTCAGAAACCTCTCTGGAACTACTGCCATAGTGAGAATTCACTGCCACTACTGTCCTAGGTAGACCTTCCTTGTTACTGTCCTAGGTAGACCTTCCCTGTAACTGTCCTAGGTAGACCTTCCTTGTTACTGTCCCAGGTAGACCTTCCCTGTTACTGTCCTAGGTAGACCTTCCTTGTAACTGTCCTAGGTAGACCTTCCCTGTTACTGTCCTATGTAGACCTTCCCTGTTACTGTCCTAGGTAGACCTTCCTTGTTACTGTCCTAGGTAGACCTTCCCTGTTACTGTCCCAGGTAGACCTTCCCTGTTACTGTCCTAGGTAGACCTTCCCTGTTACTGTCCAAGGTAGACCTTCCCTGTGACTGTCCTATGTAGACCTTCCCTGTTACTGTCCTAGGTAGACCTTCCCTGTTACTGTCCAAGGTAGACCTTCCCTGTTACTGTCCCAGGTAGACCTTCCCTGTTACTGTCCCAGGTAGACCTTCCCTGTTACTGTCCTATGTAGACCTTCCCTGTTACTGTTCTATGTAGACCTTCCCTGTTACTGTCCTAGGTAGACCTTCCCTGTTACTGTCCTAGGTAGACCTTCCCTGTTACTATCCCAGGTAGACCTTCCCTGTTACTGTACTGTCCCAGGTAGACCTTCCCTGTTACTGTCCAAGGTAGACCTTCCCTGTTACTGACCAAGGTAGACCTTCCCTGTTACTGTCCAAGGTAGACCTTCCTTGTTACTGTCCAAGGTAGACCTTCCCTGTTACTGTCCTAGGTAGACCTTCCCTGTTACTGTCCAAGGTAGACCTTCCCTGTTACTGTCCAAGGTAGACCTTCCCTGTTACTGTCCTAGGTAGAACTTCCCTGTTACTGTCCAAGGTAGACCTTCCCTGTTACTGTCCTAGGTAGACCTTCCCTGTTACTGTCCAAGGTAGACCTTCCCTGTTACTGTCCAAGGTAGACCTTCCCTGTTACTGTCCTAGGTAGAACTTCCCTGTTACTGTCCTAGGTAGACCTTCCCTGTTACTGTCCAAGGTAGACCTTCCTTGTTACTGTCCTAGGTAGACCTTCCCTGTTACTGTCCTAGGTAGACCTTCCCTGTTACTGTCCCAGGTAGACCTTCCCTGTTACTGTCCCAGGTAGACCTTCCCTGTTACTGTCCCAGGTAGACCTTCCCTGTTACTGTCCAAGGTAGACCTTCCCTGTTACTGTCCAAGGTAGACCTTCCCTGTTACTGTACTGTCCCAGGTAGACCTTCCCTGTTACTGTCCTATGTAGACCTTCCCTGTTACTGACCAAGGTAGACCTTCCCTGTTACTGTCCCAGGTAGACCTTCCTTGTTACTGTCCAAGGTAGACCTTCCCTGTTACTGTCCAAGGTAGACCTTCCCTGTTACTGTCCTATGTAGACCTTCCCTGTTACTGTCCTATGTAGACCTTCCCTGTTACTGTACAAGGTAGATCTTCCCTGTTACTGTCCTATGTAGACCTTCCCTGTTACTGTCCAAGGTAGACCTTCCCTGTTACTGTCCAAGGTAGACCTTCCCTGTTACTGTCCTATGTAGACCTTCTCTGTTACTGTCCAAGGTAGACCTTCCCTGTTACTGTCCTAGCTTGACACTCTCTGTAACAACTCCCCTAGGCCCCTCACTGTAACTACTACCCTAGACTGCTGACTACTCTGCACTGCCTCAGTGGTTTAGTGGATTGTGTGCCTGCCCCGAGAGCAGCATGTGGAAGGTTCGATTCCCGGCCGGGTTATACCAAAAGATGTGAAAAAATGGAATTGTCATTTCCCTGCCTTGCACGCAGTATTAGGAGATGAAACAAAAACTGGTTCGCTCCGAGTTAATATACTGTGTCTGAGTGGGGTTTTCATGTTAAACTGTGGCATGGTATCTCAGTGGGCTAGCACTTTAAAATTGGCATTAGTTGGCCTAATACAAGCAACCACACACACACACGCATACAGACGCAGGCGCACCAACAGACACACAGACACGCACACAAACTCACTCATACACACACAGCACACACACACAGACATGCACACAAAATCACACACAAACTCACAGACACACTCTCACACACACACACACATGCACACACTCTCTCACACACATGCACATGTGCACACACTCTCTCTCACACACACATGCACATGTGCACACACTCTCTCTCACACACACACACACACACTGACTACAGTGTGGTAGAGGTTTCAGTGACCCCTACTGCACCTACTGACTACTGTGTGATACAGGTTTCAGTGACCCCTACTGCACCTACTGACTACTATGCGGTACAGGTTTCAGTGACCCCTACTGGACCTACTGACTACTGTGTGGTACATGTTTCAGTGACCCCTACTGGACTTACTGACTACTGTGTGGTACAGATTTCAGTGACCCCTACTGCACCTACTGTAGGGAACAGATTTCAGTAACCCCTACTGCACCTACTGACTACTACGTGGTACAGGTTTCAGTGACCCCTACTGGACCTACTGACTACTGTGTGGTACAGATTTCAGTGACCCCTACTGGACCTACTGACTACTGTGTGGTACAGGTTTCAGTGACCCCTACTGGACCTACTGACTACTGTGTGGTACATGTTTCAGTGACCCCTACTGGACTTACTGACTACTGTGTGGTACAGATTTCAGTGACCCCTACTGGACCTACTGACTACTGTGTGGTACAGGTTTCAGTGACCCCTACTGGACTTACTGACTACTGTGTGGTACAGATTTCAGTAACCCCTACTGCACCTACTGACTACTATGTGGTACAGGTTTCAGTGACCCCTACTGGACCTACTGACTACTGTGTGGTACATGTTTCAGTGACCCCTACTGGACTTACTGACTACTGTGTGGTACAGATTTCAGTAACCCTTACCTCACCTACTGAGTACTGTGAGGTACAGGTTTCAGTGACCCCTACTGGACCTACTGACTACTGTGTGGTACAGATTTCAGTGACCCCTACTGCACCTACTGTGTGGTACAGGTTTCAGTGACCCCTACTGGACCTACTGACTACTGTGTGGTACATGTTTCAGTGACCCCTACTGGACTTACTGACTACTGTGTGGTACATGTTTCAGTGACCCCTACTGGACTTCCTGACTACTGTGTGGTACAGATTTCAGTGACCCCTACTGGACCTACTGACTACTTTGTGGTACAGATTTCAGTAACCCCTACTGGACCTACTGACTACTCTGTGGTACATGTTTCAGTGATCCCTATTGGACCTACTGACTACTGTGTGGTACATGTTTCAGTGACCCCTACTGGACTTCCTGACTACTGTGTGGTACAGATTTCAGTGACCCCTACTGGACCTACTGACTACTTTGTGGTACAGATTTCAGTAACCCCTATTGGACCTACTGACTACTGTGTGGTACATGTTTCAGTGACCCCTACTGGACTTACTGACTACTGTGTGGTACAGATTTCAGTGACCCCTACTGGACCTACTGACTACTGTGTGGTACAGGTTTCAGTGACCCCTACTGGACCTACTGACTACTGTGTGGTACATGTTTCAGTGACCCCTACTGGACTTACTGACTACTGTGTGGTACAGATTTCAGTGACCCCTACTGGACCTACTGACTACTGTGTGGTACAGGTTTCAGTGACCCCTACTGGACCTACTGACTACTGTGTGGTACAGATTTCAGTAACCCCTACTGCACCTACTGACTACTGTGTGGTACAGGTTTCAGTGACCCCTACTGGACCTACTGACTACTGTGTGGTACATGTTTCAGTGACCCCTACTGGACTTACTGACTACTGTGTGGTACAGATTTCAGTAACCCTTACCTCACCTACTGAGTACTGTGAGGTACAGGTTTCAGTGACCCCTACTGGACCTACTGACTACTGTGTGGTACAGATTTCAGTGACCCCTACTGGACCTACTGACTACTGTGTGATACAGGTTTCAGTGACCCCTATTGGACCTACTGACTACTGTGTGGTACATGTTTCAGTGACCCCTACTGGACTTACTGACTACTGTGTGGTACAGATTTCAGTAACCCCTACTGGACCTACTGACTACTGTGTGGTACAGGTTTCAGTGAACCCTACTGGACCTACTGACTACTGTGTGGTACAGATTTTAGTGACCCCTACTGGACTTCCTGACTACTGTGTGGTACAGATTTCAGTGACCCCTACTGGACCTACTGACTACTTTGTGGTACAGATTTCAGTAACCCCTATTGGACCTACTGACTACTGTGTGGTACATGTTTCAGTGACCTCTACTGGACTTACTGACTACTGTGTGGTACAGATTTCAGTGACCCCTACTGGACCTACTGACTACTGTGTGGTACAGATTTCAGTGACCCCTACTGGACCTACTGACTACTTTGTGGTGCAGGTTTCAGTGACCCCTACTGGACCTACTGACTACTGTGTGGTGCAGGTTTCAGTGACCCCTACTGGACCTACTGACTACTGTGTGGTACAGGTTTCAGTGACCCCTACTGCACCTACTGTGTCGTACAGATTTCAGTGACCCCTACTGGACCTACTGACTACTGTGTGGTACAGGTTTCAGTGACCCCTACTGGACCTACTGACTACTGTGTGGTACAGGTTTCAGTGACCCCTACTGACTACTGTGTGATACAGGTTTCAGTGACCCCTATTGGACCTACTAAAGTCTGTGTGGTACAGGTTTCAGTGACCCCTACTGGACCTACTGACTACTGTGTGGTACAGGTTTCAGTGACCCCTACTGGACCTACTGACTACTGTGTGGTACAGATTTCAGTGACCCCTACTGGACCTATTGACTACTGTGTGGTACAGATTTCAGTGACCCCTACTAGACCTATTGACTACTGTGTGGTACTGGTTTCAGTAACCCCTACTGGACCTACTGACTACTGTGTGATACAGGTTTCAGTGACCCCTGCTGGACCTACTGACTACTGTGTGGTACAGGTTTCAGTGACCCCTACTGGACCTACTGACTACTTTGTGGTACAGGTTTCAGTGACCCCTACTGGACCTACTGACTTCTGTGCGGTACAGGATTCAGTGACCCCTACTGGACCTACTGACTACTGTGTGGTACAGATTTCAGTGACCCCTACTGCACCTACTGTGTGGTACAGGTTTCAGTGACCCCTACTGGACCTACTGACTACTGTGTGGTACAGATTTCAGTGACCCCTATTGGACCTACTGACTACTGTGTGGTACAGGTTTCAGTGACCCCTACTGCACCTACTGTGCGGTACAGAAGTCAGTGACCCCTACTTGACCTACTGACTTCTGTGGGGTACAGGTTTCAGTGACCCCTACTGGACCTACTGACTACTGTGTGGTACAGATTTTAGTGACCCCTACTGGACTTCCTGACTACTGTGTGGTATAGATTTCAGTGACCCCTACTGGACCTACTTACTACTTTGTGGTACAGATTTCAGTAACCCCTATTGGACCTACTGACTACTATGTGGTACATGTTTCAGTGACCCCTACTGGACTTACTGACTACTGTGTGGTACAGGTTTCAGTGACCCCTACTGGACCTACTGACTACTGTGTGGTACAGATTTCAGTGACCCCTACTGGACCTACTGTGTCGTACAGATTTCAGTGACCCCTACTGGACCTACTGACTACTGTGTGGTACAGGTTTCAGTGACCCCTATTGGACCTACTGACAACTGTGTCGTACAGATTTCAGTGACCCCTACTGCACCTACTGTGTGGTACAGGTTTCAGTGACCCCTACTGGACCTACTGACTACTGTGTGGTACAGATTTCAGTGACCCCTATTGGACCTACTGACTACTGTGTGGTACAGGTTTCAGTGACCCCTACTGCACCTACTGTGCGGTACAGACGTCAGTGACCCCTACTGGACCTACTGACTACTGTGTGGTACAGGTTTCAGTGACCCCTACTGGACCTACTGACTACTGTGTGGTACAGATTTCAGTGACCCCTACTGGACCTATTGACTACTGTGTGGTACAGATTTCAGTGACCCCTACTGGACCTATTGACTACTGTGTGGTACTGGTTTCAGTGACCCCTACTGGACCTACTGACTACTGTGTGATACAGGTTTCAGTGACCCCTACTGGACCTACTGACTACTGTGTGGTACAGGTTTCAGTGACCCCTACTGGACCTACTGACTACTTTGTGGTACAGGTTTCAGTGACCCCTACTGGACCTACTGACTTCTGTGCGGTACAGGATTCAGTGACCCCTACTGGACCTACTGACTACTGTGTGGTACAGATTTCAGTGACCCCTACTGCACCTACTGTGTGGTACAGGTTTCAGTGACCCCTACTGGACCTACTGACTACTGTGTGGTACAGATTTCAGTGACCCCTATTGGACCTACTGACTACTGTGTGGTACAGGTTTCAGTGACCCCTACTGCACCTACTGTGCGGTACAGACGTCAGTGACCCCTACTTGACCTACTGACTTCTGTGGGGTACAGGTTTCAGTGACCCCTACTGGACCTACTGACTACTGTGTGGTACAGATTTTAGTGACCCCTACTGGACTTCCTGACTACTGTGTGGTATAGATTTCAGTGACCCCTACTGGACCTACTGACTACTTTGTGGTACAGATTTCAGTAACCCCTATTGGACCTACTGACTACTGTGTGGTACATGTTTCAGTGACCCCTACTGGACTTACTGACTACTGTGTGGTACAGGTTTCAGTGACCCCTACTGGACCTACTGACTACTGTGTGGTACAGATTTCAGTGACCCCTACTGGACCTACTGTGTCGTACAGATTTCAGTGACCCCTACTGGACCTACTGACTACTGTGTGGTACAGGTTTCAGTGACCCCTATTGGACCTACTGACAACTGTGTCGTACAGATTTCAGTGACCCCTACTGCACCTACTGTGTGGTACAGGTTTCAGTGACCCCTACTGGACCTACTGACTACTGTGTGGTACAGATTTCAGTGACCCCTATTGGACCTACTGACTACTGTGTGGTACAGGTTTCAGTGACCCCTACTGCACCTACTGTGCGGTACAGACGTCAGTGACCCCTACTTGACCTACTGACTTCTGTGCGGTACAGGTTTCAGTGACCCCTACTGGACCTACTGACTACTGTGTGATACAGATTTCAGTGACCCCTACTGCACCTACTGTGTGGTACAGGTTTCAGTGACCCCTACTGGACCTACTGACTACTTTGTGGTACAGATTTCAGTGACCCCTACTGGACCTACTGTCTCGTACAGATTTCAGTGACCCCTTCTGGACCTACTGACTACTGTGCAGTACAGGTTTCAGTGACCCCTACTGGACCTACTGTGTCGTACAGATTTTAGTGACCCCTACTGGACCTATTGACTAATGTGCGGTACAGGTTTCAGTGACCCCTACTGGACCTACTGTGTCGTACCGATTTCAGTGACCCCTACTGGACCTACTGACTACTGTGTGGTACAGGTTTCAGTGACCCCTACTGGACCTACTGACTACTGTGTGGTACAGGTTTCAGTGACCCCTACTGGACCTACTGTGTGATACAGATTTCAGTGACCCCTACTGGACCTACTGACTACTGTGTGGTACAGGTTTCAGTGACCCCTACTGGACCTACTGACTACTGTGTGGTACAGGTTTCAGTGACCCCTACTGACTACTGTGCGGTACAGGTTTCAGTGACCCCTACTGGACCTACTGTGTCGTACCGATTTCAGTGACCCCTACTGGACCTACTGACTTCTGTGTGGTACAGGTTTCAGTGACCCCTACTGGACCTACTGACTACTGTGTGGTACAGGTTTCAGTGACCCCTACTGGACCTACTGTGTGATACAGATTTCAGTGTCCCCTACTGGACCTACTGACTACTGTGTGGTACAGGTTTCAGTGACCCCTACTGGACCTACTGACTACTGTGTGGTACAGGTTTCAGTGACCCCTACTGGACCTACTGACTGCTGTGTGGTACAGGTTTCAGTGGCCCCTACTGGACCTACTGTGTGATACAGATTTCAGTGACCCCTACTGGACCTACTGACTACTGTGTGGTACAGGTTTCAGTGACCCCTACTGGACCTACTGACTACTGTGTGGTACAGGTTTCAGTGACCCCTACTGACTACTGTGTGATACAGGTTTCAGTGACCCCTATTGGACCTACTAAAGTCTGTGTGGTACATGTTTCAGTGACCCCTACTGGACCTATTGACTAATGTGCGGTACAGGTTTCAGTGACCCCTACTGGACCTACTGTGTCGTACCGATTTCAGTGACCCCTACTGGACCTACTGACTACTGTGTGGTACAGGTTTCAGTGACCCCTACTGGACCTACTGACTACTGTGTGGTACAGGTTTCAGTGACCCCTACTGGACCTACTGTGTGATACAGATTTCAGTGACCCCTACTGGACCTACTGACTACTGTGTGGTACAGGTTTCAGTGACCCCTACTGGACCTACTGACTACTGTGTGGTACAGGTTTCAGTGACCCCTACTGACTACTGTGCGGTACAGGTTTCAGTGACCCCTACTGGACCTACTGTGTCGTACCGATTTCAGTGACCCCTACTGGACCTACTGACTTCTGTGTGGTACAGGTTTCAGTGACCCCTACTGGACCTACTGACTACTGTGTGGTACAGGTTTCAGTGACCCCTACTGGACCTACTGTGTGATACAGATTTCAGTGTCCCCTACTGGACCTACTGACTACTGTGTGGTACAGGTTTCAGTGACCCCTACTGGACCTACTGACTACTGTGTGGTACAGGTTTCAGTGACCCCTACTGGACCTACTGACTACTGTGTGGTACAGGTTTCAGTGACCCCTACTGGACCTACTGTGTGATACAGATTTCAGTGACCCCTACTGGACCTACTGACTACTGTGTGGTACAGGTTTCAGTGACCCCTACTGGACCTACTGACTACTGTGTGGTACAGGTTTCAGTGACCCCTACTGACTACTGTGTGATACAGGTTTCAGTGACCCCTATTGGACCTACTAAAGTCTGTGTGGTACAGGTTTCAGTGACCCCTACTGGACCTACTGACTACTGTGTGGTACAGGTTTCAGTGACCCCTACTGGACCTACTGACTACTGTGTGGTACAGGTTTCAGTGACCCCTACTGGACCTACTGACTACTGTGTGGTACAGGTTTCAGTGACCCCTACTGACTACTGTGTGATACAGGTTTCAGTGACCCCTATTGGACCTACTAAAGTCTGTGTGGTACAGGTTTCAGTGACCCCTACTGGACCTACTGACTACTGTGTGGTACAGGTTTCAGTGACCCCTACTGGACCTACTGACTACTGTGTGGTACAGGTTTCAGTGACCCCTACTGGACTTACTGACTACTGTGTGGTACAGGTTTCAGTGACCCCTACTGCATGCTGGGGATCCAGCCGAGCCATCCCTCTGAAGGCGATCCCAACACCTTGTTCTCATCTGACGAGGAATCAGGGACAAGGACGAAGGAGAAGGAGCGCCGTGGACTGCGTAAGTTCTCGACCAGTCTGCGCAAGAAGAAGGACAAGGAACTTGTGAAGGACCTGGTGCCTGCCAAATACATCCAGACAACCGCTGTGATACCCAACACTCTCAACCCTGAGTGGAATGAAAAATTCCGATTGTGAGTATTGATAACAAAATATGTAAATCATGAAAATTCACTTGTGAAAGCATCCTTAATTATGGGTGGATGTGTCTGTGTGTGCATCATGAAATACACTTGCCAACATCCTTAATTATTGCTGGATGTGCCTGTGTGTGCATCATGAAATACACTTGCCAACATCCTCAATTATGGGAAGATGTGTCTGTGTGTGCATCATGAAATACACTTGCCAACATCTTCAATTATGGGTGTATGTGTCTGTTTGCGTCATGAAATACACTTGCCAACATCCTCAATTATGGGTGGATATGTCTGTTTGCGTCATGAAATACACTTGCCAACATCCTCATTTATGGGTGGATGTGTCTGTTTGCATCATGAAATACACTTGCCAACATCCTCAATTATGGGTGGATGTGTCTGTTTGCATCATGAAATACACTTGCCAACATCCTCAATTATGGGAAGATGTGTCTGTGTGGGCATCATGAAATACACTTGCCAACATCTTCAATTATGGGAAGATGTGTCTGTTTGCATCATGAAATACACTTGCCAACATCCTTAATTATTGCTGGATGTGCCTGTGTGTGCATCATGAAATACACTTGCCAACATCCTCAATTATGGGAAGATGTGTCTGTGTGTGCATCATGAAATACACTTGCCAACATCCTCAATTATGGGAAGATGTGTCTGTGTGTGCATCATGAAATACACTTGCCAACATCCTCAATTATGGGTGGATATGTCTGTTTGCGTCATGAAATACACTTGCCAACATCCTCATTTATGGGTGGATGTGTCTGTTTGCATCATGAAATACACTTGCCAACATCCTCAATTATGGGTGGATGTGTCTGTTTGCATCATGAAATACACTTGCCAACATCCTCAATTATGGGAAGATGTGTCTGTGTGTGCATCATGAAATACACTTGCCAACATCTTCAATTATGGGAAGATGTGTCTGTTTGCATCATGAAATACACTTGCCAACATCCTCAATTATGGGTGGATGTGTCTGTTTGGATCATGAAATACACTTGCCAACATCCTCAATTATGGGAAGATGTGTCTGTGTGTGCATCATGAAATACACTTGCCAACATCCTCAATTATGGGAAGATGTGTCTGTGTGTGCATCATGAAATACACTTGCCAACATCCTCAATTATGGGTGGATATGTCTGTTTGCGTCATGAAATACACTTGCCAACATCCTCATTTATGGGTGGATGTGTCTGTTTGCATCATGAAATACACTTGCCAACATCCTCAATTATGGGTGGATGTGTCTGTTTGCATCATGAAATACACTTGCCAACATCCTCAATTATGGGAAGATGTGTCTGTGTGTGCATCATGAAATACACTTGCCAACATCTTCAATTATGGGAAGATGTGTCTGTTTGCATCATGAAATACACTTGCCAACATCCTCAATTATGGGAGGATGTGTCTGTTTGCATCATGAAATACACTTGCCAACATCCTCAATTATGGGAGGATGTGTCTGTTTGCATCATGAAATACACTTGCCAACATCCTCAATTATGGGTGGATGTGTCTGTGTGTGCATCATGAAATACACTTGCCAACATCCTCAATTATGGGTGGATGTGTCTGTGTGTGCATCATGAAATACACTTGCCAACATCCTCAATTATGGGAGGATGTGTCTGTTTGCATCATGAAATACACTTGCCAACATCCTCAATTATGGGTGGATGTGTCTGTGTGTGCATCATGAAATACACTTGCCAACATCCTCAATTATGGGAGGATGTGTCTGTTTGCATCATGAAATACACTTGCCAACATCCTCAATTATGGGTGGATGTGTCTGTGTGTGCATCATGAAATACACTTGCCAACATCCTCAATTATGGGTGGATGTGTCTGTGTGTGCATCATGAAATACACTTGCCAACATCCTCAATTATGGGTGGATGTGTCTGTGTGTGCATCATGAAATACACTTGCCAACATCCCCAATTATGGGAGGATGTGTCTGTTTGCATCATGAAACACACTTGCCAACATCCTCAATTATGGGTGGATGTGTCTGTGTGTGCATCATGAAATACACTTGCCAACATCCTCAATTATGGGTGGATGTGTCTGTGTGTGCATCATGAAATACACTTGCCAACATCCTCAATTATGGGAGGATGTGTCTGTTTGCATCATGAAATACACTTGCCAACATCCTCAATTATGGGTGGATGTGTCTGTGTGTGCATCATGAAATACACTTGCCAACATCCTCAATTATGGGAGGATGTGCCTGTGTGTGCATCATGAAATACACTTGCCAACATCCTCAATTATGGGTGGATGTGTCTGTGTGTGCATCATGAAATACACTTGCCAACATCCTCAATTATGGGAGGATGTGTCTGTGTGTGCATCATGAAATACACTTGCCAACATCCTCAATTATGGGAGGATGTGTCTGTGTGTGCATCATGAAATACACTTGCAAACATCCTCAATTATGGGAAGATGTGTCTGTGTGTGCATCATGAAATACACTTGCCAACATCCTCAATTATGGGAAGATGTGTCTGTGTGTGCATCATGAAATACACTTGCCAACATCCTCAATTATGGGAAGATGTGTCTGTGTGTGCATCTTGAAATACACTTGCCAACATCTTCAATTATGGGTGGATGTGTCTGTGTGTGCATCATGAAATACACTTGCCAACATCCTAAATTATGGGTGGATGTGTCTGTGTGTGCATCTTGAAATACACTTGCCAACATCTTCAATTATGGGTGGATGTGTCTGTGTGTGCATCTTGAAATACACTTGCCAACATCCTCAATTATGGGTGGATGTGTCTGTGTGTGCATCTTGAAATACACTTGCCAACATCCTCAATTATGGGTGGATGTGTCTGTGTGTGCATCATTAGATACACTTGCCAACATCTTCAATTATGGGTGGATGTGTCTGTGTGTGCATCATGAAATACACTTGCCAACATCCTCAATTATGGGTGGATGTGCCTCTGTGTGTGCATCATGAAATACACTTGCCAAGATCCTAAGTTATGGGTGGATGTGCCTCTGTGTGTGCATCATTAGATACACTTGCCAACATCCTCAATTTTTGGTGAATGTCTGTGTGTGCATCATGAAATACACTTGCCGACATCCTCAATTGTTATCCCCCCAGCATATAATGCAGGGGGATACAGCGAAATAAGGTAAATAATATGAAATATTATGCAAAGGAAAACTCAGAAAACAAATCTCCTTATTGGAAATTGTTACGATATTTAGTGAAAAATACAGGTAAGACTTTATCTATTCCCCCTCTGCGCAGACATGTCACAGACGAAAGCCCAAATATATACTCAGATTTAGATAAAGCTAACCAGTTAAACAAGTATTTTTCATGCATAGCAGATGTTGATGGAAGTAAGGCGATATTGCCAAATGTGGAAAAACGTACAGATAAAACATTTAGCACATTGCGAATAAACGTATATGAAATAAGTGATATAATAAAGTCTCATTCTTTGAATAAAGCTTCGGGCCCAGATCGCATTAGATCGCAAATTCTGAAACATACTGTAGCATCTTTAAGTGAAGTCTTATGTCTATTATTCAATATCTCATTGAGAACGCGTACATATCCAAGTCAATGGAAAGAGGGTCATGTTATGCCATTATTGAAAAAACGTGACCCAACACTTTCCTCAAATTATAGACCAATATCTTTGATAAGCTGTATCGGGAAAGTATTCGAACGAGTTGTGTTCAAGCACTTGCACAATTATTTTCATGAGAATTCGTTGCTATACAAATACCAATCAGGATTCCAAGCTGGTCACTCGACCGTCCACAAACTGTTGGAATTATATAATCAAGTGTGTAAAGCCTTCGATAAATTAATGAATGGGCTCAAGACTGGTTAATTCTATATAATCCGAGCAAAACAAAATCAATTCTCGTTTCCACAAAAGAGCTGCAGAGAACTTTGAAATTATTTTTGGATAATCAAAACATTGAAAATGTTAAAACACACAAATACCCGGGTGTTATATTGTCGTCATCGGGCAAGTGGTCAACTTGGGATTCAGTGATTCAACTATTAAAACAACATCAAAGATGATTCATTCAATGAGAAAGCTTAAGTATATGCTCTGTCGTAGTGTGTTGAGTAAGATTTATGTAATGTTTATTAGACCACATTATGAATATGCATGTGAAGTTTGGGACGGTTGTACCAAGGAGCAGAGTGACAAATTAGAAAAACTCCAACTGGAAGCAGCAAGAATTGTAACTGGTTTACCAACCTATACTTCCGTCAAAAATTTATATTTCGAAACTTCCAGGGAGCCCCTATCAGAGCATAGGAGAAAACGTAAATTGTGTTTATTCAATAAAATGTACAACAATATGACACCTTCATACCTTAAAGATCTAGTACCTCACTCTGTCGGGACAAACGTAACATACAACCTTAGAACCGCTCACAATATAACTATGCCTCTATTACGTACTAAGTTATCGGAATCCTCGTTTATACCATCCGCGATCAAATTGTGGAATACATTACCTATTCAGCAAAGGAATATTGAAACATTCCCTCGATTTAAATCCAGTTTAACAACAGATAGTCCTACAGTTCCATCATATTTCTCATATGGTTTAAGGAAAATTAACATAATACATACAAAATTAAGATATGATGACAGTGAATTAAAAAATGACTTATTTAGAAAAGGTTTAAACGAGGATCCAAAATGCCGATGTGGCAGCCCATGTGAAAATTCCTATCATTTTTTCATTGAATGTCCTTTATTTAAATCAGCTAGAAACGAATTGATGCACTCACTATTGTTAATTGTGAAAGATACTTGTGATGTAAATATTGACCTGATGCTAGTTGGAAATGCAATTTTTACCTAATCATGTGAACGAAAGCATTTTTAGGAATGTTCATACATATATAAAGAAAGCAAAAAGGTTTGAGTGAGCAGTGTGAATGTACATAC